GGGGGAGGAGAGGTGGGAAGAAATAGCTAGAGAAAGTGAATTTTGAAGGAGGGAGAAATGGAGAGTTCCTTGATTTTTTTGTTTTTCTTTTTGGTAGTTTGCTCTTTGATCGGGGTTGTGCACAGCCTACATACAATAGAAAACGATTAGAGAGTAGAGAGGGCATGGAAAATGTCAAGCGGGATTCGTAATTTTTGTGTATCGAGGGGAACTTCGTCTTAAAAAGTTCCCTGGTTCCAGCTTGTGCCGAGCCTTGTCAAATTCTCTACCACGAATGAATGATATGACCCAGGTACCTGGATTTCTGTACATTGCTTCTGACAGCAAAATGCTCTTTTTTCCTGAACAAAAAATGTTTTTGGAATTTATCTGTGTTGTTCTGTTGACAAAAATATGCGCTAAGAAAATAAGGCATTTATCCTCCAAAAACAAGTAAGGGAGCTTACCTCAGGTATTTCTCCTCCTTCCTTTCCTGATGAGTGAAGAGCTGGCACTAAACTCGTCCAGAATCCTACTCGTGCATTACGGTAGTAGTTTTTGACCCGAGGCCGGTCAGCTAAACACTCTTTCTTAGAAAAACATGATTTCTAAAAATTATGGAAACTTACTAATTTCTAGGTAAGCTTCTCGATTAGGTTGATCAAATTGTGGCCAGGCTGTAGCATGGAAAGCATCACCCATAGGGAAAGATTTTGGCATTGGAGTTGGTTTTGAGGGATCGCTAAAATGACTTTTTATTTGAGCAATTGCTTCGAAAAGTATTGACCTACCCAGATTTGACAAAATTTGCAACATAATGCATAAGAACTTGCGAAATACCCCTATCCTCAGCGCTAAATCCAGAGAAGAGCTAAACAGCTTTGAAATAGAATTTTAGTAAGTAAAAATGACTGGCACTCACTTTTTCCTCTTTGTCTGAATTAGCCAGAGGGTACCCGAAGATGTATGGTATATGATCACCTGATAGTGAACCTCTTAGTCCAGAGTTCGGTTGCTCATTCATCCACGAACGTGTTTCGTGCCCGAATACAAACCTAGAAATTGTGCTTTTGGAGAGAGCTTTTTTCCAAAAAAAAATTAATGTGTGTTTACAGGTTCTTTCGAAATATTTATA